AGAGGTTCTTTGGGTTCGTCTGAACCACTCATATTTCCATCCATCAGAGCTCTGCACAGAGCAGGTCAGTGTCACACTGCCCCCTACTGGTATGATTGTTTTTCCTGCTGTGAGTGTGGCCCTGGGTTTATCTGCAGATATGAAAAAGAAGCGAACAAAATGTACACCTGATACAATATAAATGTAAAAAAGGTAAAAAAAAAAAATTTTCCAAAATAAAATCTACAAATGTCTTCATTATATATTATATTTTTTTTCTACAGTTTAAGTCACTTTAAATTTTTCTAATTTCTGTCTCAACATGGTGACAGAGCTGCAGTAATTCAGGTTGTAGATCTCTAAATAAGCACAGTACGAATGTTTGTTCAATCTCAGGCCTGAAGAAGTCACACTGAATGTAAACTAATGCAGTTCACTGTTGAAGGAAACACACACACACACACACACAACACACACACACACACACACATTTAGACAACAGAAACATCGTCACCTTAAATTATATGGATCTTTTGATGTTTCTTTTTTCATTATTTAAATTAAGTTTCATCCACAGTTTTTCTTGTTATACATTAAAACATGCACATGCTGTAATGACATATTGTCTGAGTATTTTGGTTGTAGTGTGTACTGTGAACAACGTTAGGTAAAATGCAAGGATCTTTGTTAAAGTTCCAACACATAAGAAATACATTACTTTCAATGAAACATTTATTAAACACACATTTTTTATAATTCAGATGAGTATTTTAACTGGAATCATCACAGTATTAATCACTGAGGACTTACCTAATACAGTTATAAAGACAGTATTACTGTTCTTTCTATTATGTGACCCCTTCCAGGTACCAGAGCACTGATATTCACCACTTCGATCTGTAGAGCTAATTTCGAATGTGTAGTCTTTGTTATCCCTGTAGGGGGCATACTCTCGACCATCCTTGTTGATTGTGTAATACCAGTCAGTGTCTTTTCCTTCATTCATGTCACATTTGAAGGTAACAGACTCTCCAATGAAATAACTGGACCAGCTGGGTTCAATAGTTAGTACAGCATCTAGAATCCAACACAAACAGACAATCAGACAACAGACAATCTGAAACACTTTATGTAATGCTCAAGGCAGAATGTTGATTGATTATTAATACTTTATTTATATAGAGTCATATAGGCTGAGAATAATCTTTGCTAAATAAAAAGGAAGAAATAGAAAAAGTGAAAACTGTTCAGTCACCTTGAGCGTGTCCACTGCAGACGAGCGTACAGAGCACTACAATAAAGACAGAAACTTCAGACATTATCAAAGTAGCGACACTCAAATATGTCTCCGTATCTGCATCTACTCTGATCTGAGTCAGTGCACTAAAATAGAATCCAGTCTACAAACAAACATGGTGATAACAAAACATTAGTGTCCTAAAAACGGTACAGTCCATCCTCTTTGGGCAACAGATGAAAGATGGCTTCCAAAAGGGAAATGATCTCCCCAGTATTTCCTTTATGTATTTGACTTTTCAGTACTTATCTCAAAATGTATTTTTGAGATCAATGACATCTCAAAAATTGATGTCATTGACAAATTGCAATGGGTCACTTCTCTCAACAAGAATTTCTCTAGAAGGTGATATATAATATAAGGTGGAAATAATTTACGTGTCTTCAACAGCAAACACTATTAAGCTGAAGTTAAACCTGCCTACTGGGAGTTTTAAAAACAAAAAAAACTTTATTTATGGCTGGACGAGCTCTAATCTTTCTTTAGGACGCAAGTTTCATTTAGTAAGGAGTAGGATCCTGCTAAATCTAGCACTGGCTTTAATCACTGTCGTTATATGTTTAATCAGTGTCTACTATGATTGGTTAGATTTTATATTAGGATGTCAAAAGCATCAAATTATAACTGATGGAGAAACTAACCTTTCTTAGATAAACTAAACCAGCTCCACTCTGATCTGAGTCAGTGCACTAAAATCTAATCCAGTCTACAAACAAACATGTTGGTAACAAACATGAGAGTCCTCTGATCACATGACCTGAAATGGTAGAAATGACTGATGCTCTGTTCTTCTTACTAAAACATGTTTATGGATCAGTATGAATCAAACAATAGAAGTCAGTGATGTACTCACAGAATAGGCCCAGCTCACAGAGCAAAGTGGCTCCCATCCTCACATCCAGCAGTGACACATCTGAAAACTTCTACAACTTTCTGTAAAGAGAGAGAGTGAAGCAGCAGCACAGCAGATATCAAAGAGCCGTGAAGGAAACAAAGAGGGTTTAAAACATCTTCTCTCTGCTTCCTTCCTTTTACACAGAAATAACAACTTAACAAGGTCTGACCATGTTTGTCAGATTTTTATGAAAAGGCCTGTAACACACAGACTAAACTGACCAATAACAGACAGACAGTAAGTTTCATTACACATATGTGAGCTGACTGAG